ATGGACAACATCAACCAACGAGAGGTTGGATCAAGTGGTAAGTGACTTGTTTCAGTTTAAATAAGATCTCAAGTTCGAGACCTTGTGTATGTAGCAGTCCCCGCTGGGAGACTCACCCACCATTTTCAGGTGTGTGACACGGACTTAGACGGGATGAAGTCCCGAATACCGAGCAAAAAAAAAAAAATAGAGAACATCATAGGGAGTTGTGAGATACCGATACGTGCCATTTTTTACCGTTTAACAAGGCAGGGTCTCAAATGTTAATTCTCTAGACTTGAAGGGGGCAAAATGACATTTTTGTAAATATGAACGTTTTTGCGACGTCCGAATTTGGCAAAATTATTCTAAAAAAAAAAGAAAGAATTTTTTTTCTTCCACGTAAGAAATTCAATCAAAGCAGGGTGGCAATTGACAAGCAATTCCTTCTTTGAAAAATCAAACATCATTTCCTTCTTCCACTTGACTCTTCGCACTTGCAGAGCCTATTGTACAGCGCTTCTTCTTTACCATTTTCAATATTCTGTGTGTGGATTTTGGTTTTGAGAATGGAAAGTTTCTTCAAGGTGGTGCCTTTTTTCATCTGCTTTTTCCTTATTGCAAATGTATCAGAACTCAAAGCTGCACAGCAAAAATGCCAGACGAAAAGGTGCAAACACCAAACCATCCGTTTCCCTTTCCGACTAAAAGGGCTGCAACCAGACCTCTGTGGCTATCCCGGGTTTGATATATCCTACAAAGACAAAAAGCAGATGGTGCTAGAACTGCCACAGAATGTCAGGTTGGTGGTGAAGCATATAGATTATAGAGCACAGACGATTCAGTTATCCGATCCAGGAGGTTGTCTGCCGCTACAGCTTCCCAATCTCAACTTATCTGCATCTCCCTTCCAGTTTACAACAAACTACACACAAAAATACACTGTTTTCAATTGTTCAAGGGAGGAAAATTGGTATTATGAAGATGACAAATGCTACAAGATTCCTTGCTTAAGCAGTCCAGAATTCCAAGTTCTAACTACACCTTCTGATTCTTCACCTTACTTTAGCTTGGTGAATTGCAGCAGAACATTGCTGAACATTTCTGAGATAGCAGTAGATGAAGATATGTTGCATTACAAGACAGGTGATATTGTTCACTTGAGTTGGTCCGAACCAAACTGCAGAAAATGTGAAGCAGTAGGCAGGAAATGCAAATTGAGGAATGATAACATACAGGACGAAATAGAGTGTTGTGGTACGACCAAGAAACAAAGAGGTATGCTTTTAGCATTTCCAAATGTTATCAATGACCTCATTGCTCACTGGGTTTAGTTGCTTTTCTTTGATTTAGCCTTAGTTGTTGTGTTGCTTCGATGTTTGCTCTTTTTCCTCTTAGAGATGAGTGTCGTTTAGGATTTAGTTTTCCCTGACCACTGGCCAAAAGGCTATGATACCTTGGTTTTCATGTTTTGCATATTACATTGGTATTGATTTGAGGAACATATATGAAGCAGCTAAATTTCCTATGTTTTACAGATAGGCGAAAAATTCTATTGGCTATAGGTATAATTCTAGGCCCCTGTCTTCTTGGATTGATTCTCTTTGGACTTTATCGTATTCACCGCTCACGTAAAGCAGCGAAAGAGGCCCAGCTCAAGATTGAAAAGTTTTTGGAGGATTATAGAGTGCTCAAGCCCTCAAGATACTCATACGCTGACATCAAGAGAATAACAGATCAATTCAAGGACAAATTGGGAGAAGGGGCCTATGGAACTGTTTTCAAAGGAAGGCTTTCCAATGATGTTTTGGTCGCAGTTAAGGTCCTCAACAATTTCAATGCAACTGGTGAGGAGTTCATTAACGAAGTGGGATCAATGTGCAGAATCCACCATGTCAATGTTACTCGCTTGATTGGATTTTGTGCTGATGGAAATAAGCGAGCTCTTGTTTACGAGTACATGCTAAATGAGTCCCTAGAGAAGTTCATATTTGTAGCTAAAGAAGATCACCACCTTGGTTGGGAGAAGCTTCAAGATATTGCTATGGGGATAGCCAAAGGAATTGAGTACTTGCATCATGGTTGTGACCAGCAAATCCTTCATTTTGATATCAAGCCTCACAATATCTTGCTAGACAAAAATTTCAATCCAAAGATATCTGATTTTGGTCTAGCAAAACTGTGTTCCAAGGAACAAAGTGCTGTTTCCATGACAGCAGCTAGAGGAACTTTGGGATATATTGCACCTGAGGTATTGTCTAGAAACTTCGGAAAAGTTACACATAAATCAGATGTTTATAGTTTTGGAATGCTATTGTTGGAAATGGTAGGAGGGAGGAAGAATATTGATGCTACAGTTGAGAGTACGAGCCAAGTTTATTTTCCAGAATGGGTGTATAATTGCTTGGACAGAGGAGAAGAGCTGAGGATTAGAATAGAAAATGAAGGACATGCCAAGATAGCAAGAAAACTTACAATTGTTGGACTTTGGTGCATTCAGTGGTATCCAGCAGACCGTCCATCGATGAAAGCTGCGATTCACATGTTAGAAGGAGAAGTAGACAGTTTGACAGTGCCACCAAATCCCTTCGGCCATGCAGATGCAGTGCAGATGAGGGCCAACATACCTAGGAAACCAAATAACAGAGAACTACCAGTTATCTTTGAATTGGAATAAAATACTTTTACGTATTCAAATTCTACATAACTATTTTCCTCTAAATAATTGAATTATATAATGTAAACCAAGTTGTTCTTTTCCACTTTTCCTATCCCTTCATCCATATCAAAGTAAAGATGTAATCTCGAGTCCTGAAAGTTTTATAGAATCATTAAAAAGACTTGTATCAACTGAACCAGCTATCATGCAAATACAGAATGTTTTTACAGGGAAGGATTTTTCTTCTTTATTTTTTTGATTTTTTTATCTGTATTCCAGTAGATCAACATTTTCCCAAGTCTGATAACTGAACTTTTGTTCAATCCTTTGGCAGCTATTTCATGCTTTTAATTCAGTTCTTGTTCTTCTCAACTTCATTGGTTCAATTTATTTCTAGTTTTTTCTAGTTTGTTGAAGAGGGAGTTATGATAGGTCTCTTCTTATCTATTCTCAAAATCCCTTTTACCTAGGAAGGAATTACGAGGGATAGAGCATGTATTCCTATGAAGATCTAGACTAGTATCCACCAGTCGAAGTGTATACCTATCATAAGATATTTCCTCCACAAAGAATTTCCCAGATTGAGTGAGGAAAGTTGTGCGATTGTTCTCACAAACTAATTCATACCCTGGGTAACCACACTCAATAGGTTCCCTACTTAAACGAAAAGGGACCAAGGGTAACTGCTACTAAGGTTTCCACAGGAAGAAGGGGCACAGGGCTTGTTTTGGCCTTGCGCAACAGAAGCATCAAGAAATAGAGACACAGCGAGGGTCATTACGCCCAATGCTCCTACAAGCTTTGCCCTTAACATCCTAAAGGTTGAACAGGAGAATATAAGGCCCTTTTCCTATGTTTTTATGATAAATAACATAAAAGCCAACTTACAGAATTCAATTCCACAAGATGAGGAAAACGTCCAGGTCGGACTGTCCAAGTTGCCGACTTTGAATTTCAAAGGACGTTGCTGACTTTGAATTTTCAAAGGACTAATAATGGCAATCGACTCGTCACTGTTAACAGGAAGAGACTGTCGCCAGTCGCGTTTCATGAATATAGGAGTCAGAAATGGCACAAGAGATATTTTCGTATTTTGCGTTTTTCACACGGTTTCCTTTGTAGCCACCCGCAAATAAAACGAAAAGATCTATTTTGAAAGAGGAAGAAGACGATGGCAACAAGCAGGCAAAATAATAAGCTGGGACCTTTAAGATGTTGCTTTTTAGATCTTGTTTTAATTTTTTTTTATAACAAAGCTTTTGATTTTCTTGATTCTTAATTCCATTTTTTTTTTAACTTTTAAAATAACACTTATATAAAATTTTAATTATTTATTTTTTATTATAATTTTTAAATAAAAATAATAATTATTTTTAATAAATGTAAATA